TTCCAGAGCTTCAGGTTCACTGTAGAACTGGGGAGATGGTAATAATAAGCCTCACAAAACTCCCTTTGGGAACAAAGAAAGCAGGTGAACACACCCTACATAAACTACAAAATACAATGCATGTGTTGGTAGCACTTTAAATTCACTTATGCCAAACTATGTACACCAATACCAGTATTTTTCTTTCATCATGATTATTTATTTATACCCTCACGGATTCTGAAGATACTTAAGTCAAATGTATGCTTACTGAGATCCTAGGCCATGGAGCCAAACAGATGGAGTCTGACACTTAGTTCTACTACTTACTAAATGTCACCTTAGGTCAACTGATTTTCTATGCCTCAATGTCCTCACCTGTAAATGTGAAGAGTGTATGTATCAAAGACCACTAGGAGTACTCAGCAGCTAGCACGTGTGAAGAAGGGTGGTGTGTTTGCTTCACAGGAAGCACTCCAGCCTCAGCTGCAGGTTGCCATTACTGTTTCAGGTTTCAGGCATTTAATATTCTAAAGGTTAGAAGAACCCAAAATCACAGATCCACCCATAAAATTCCTTATAGAATAATAAGTAAAGAGAATAAGGATACTTAGCACATCTTGCATTTGGAATTGGTATGATTCCATTTAGCATCTCTAGTTCACTAGTCAACTTTGAGGATTTCTTTCCATGAGCTTCAGTTAGATGATGACAAATTATTTTTATTTAGGAAAACATTTATGAAGAATACTTTTTTCCTCACAGCTAGTACTCCATACTAAAGTTTAAATATCCTTGGATTTTATAACACAGAACTACTGGATCCCACTTTGTAGATCCTACCCCACCCCCAAAGGTAAAGAATGCATGTGCAATGTAATTCAGGACCAACTCTGTTTAACCAACTCAACTTACCAGACCTCCATACCTTTAGAAGAGTTGATCCTCAAGAGACTTCCCTAACTCTCAGGGTTTTTATAGTCTCAACTACTGCTAATAACCTCATGCCAAGACCCAGGAACACACAGGGGAGTCAGAAGTGGTTCTGTTGTCCATTCATCAATCCTATCATATGGTAGATCCCCAAACACCCCCCACCCAGACAACTCACACCACATGCATGCCCTTTCTGAATCATGTTGCTTCACCTTCCTCATCTAAGGGAAAACCTATTACTATTCTTTCTACTCACTTTCCAAACCACATAACTCCCCTTATTATTATATCCAAAAGAAGTGACATGGAATTCTCTATATACAAGTGCAGCTTTTTATCCTAGAATTTTGTTTAAGGTTAATCCATTGAAGGGAAATGAAGGGAATGGTATGTTCAGTCATCATTATACTATTCAAATGGTTGGGCAGAAAAACTAAACCTTAGGAGCCCTACTTCATAGCACTATTTTGACAAATTCATCAGTGTGTCCTATCCAGCCAAGAAGTAAATGCCCTAACTATATTATAACAATACTGAATAGGGCCATTTAACCCTCTGTAGTACTAATTCCTTACTTATTCCAATTATCTCCAAAATGTTAATGAGAGCCACCTATATAAATATTTCAGAACATGAACTATTAGATTATATAATGACATCAGCCTAGATGGTTGGTACTTGAAGGTCTTACTAGTAACTTCAACTCAATCCAGGTAAGTACTTTATTTAGTATTACATGAAACTAAATCTAGGAGAGTGGATTGGTTGATGGCTCAATTAACAACTTCACTTTTGAACTTAACTATTTTCTTCCCTACTTTAAAAACAGAAATTAAAGAAAAGTCAAAGGCCAGAGGCTAAATAATTGCAAACATGAAATATGTCAGCAAAAGTAACATGCTTAAAATAAGCAAAATAAAGAACACTTTTGAGGAGATAGTTCAGGTAAATTCAGTCTTTGAGAATGTAAAGGGATTAACATGTCAAAATTAAGATTTTCAGGATAATTTCAGTCTACACCATCTAAATCTATCCAACCTAGGTCTATACTTAAAGAATTTATAAATTGTTCAGTAAGATTTCTTAGCTATTTCCTTATTTTTTCCTCAACCCTCCTCAGCCCAAAAGCCCTTTCTCTCTATCTTGGCATATTGTTAAGAACAAAGAAAGGTGAGGCCCAGGTGGCTCTGTCAGTTAAGCTTCCACTTCTTGATTTCAGCTCAGGTATCATAATCTCAGGGTTGTGAGATCAAGCCCCAGTCAGGCTGGGCATAAGCCTGCTTAAGATTCTCACTCTCTCCCTCTGCCCCTCCCTCACCTCGCTCTCTCCCGTTTAAAAAAAAAAAAAAGATAATAATATAAATCACAAGAACCGTTAATACGTTGTAGAAACATGTAATTACAGGATAAATAACCTGCATCACAACCAACATTGTATCAACTTCGTTATCTATATTATCTAAACCTCAAATAGTTAAGAATAAGGTTTAAACATGCAATACTTCCTTAGTGAATACTTAGTCTTTTACTGTTTTTCACTTTATTCATATAATCTTATTCTATTTTTCCTTAACTCTTTACAGAAATTTTCTTGTTCCCATAAACTATTTTACTGCTAATATAGCTTTTCCGAAACAAGAGCTATGAAGATACGCTCTTCCCGTCTCTCCTCCAGTCTCCAGTGCACCCAGCTTTCTGGCCTCTTGCAGCTTTTCTGTAAATGTTCAAAAACCTAGATTGTGTTTTAAAAATAGAAGGCACAAGAAAAAGGAATCTTCTAGCTTCAACAGCTATGAGAACTATCTGACCTTACTCTAGGAAATCGTTTTGAGTAAGCCAAAAAAAAAAAAAAAAAAACAAAACAAAACACAGCAAACCTACTGCTGTCCCCATCTCCTTCCAAACTTCAAATCTAGATCACTTTCACATAGAAATGAACAATATTCTAAATAATTTCTCTCTACTGCATGGGTATATGCACCGATAACCCTTTCTGCTACCACCTGAATGTACAACACTGGATAAAGGTGAGTGAAGTCCTAAAGGCCATCAGAACTTGTCTACTCCAGGAAATATTTAAATATAAACTACCAGAATCATGAACAGAATACACTTTAAACCAATACAACACCACGAAAAAAATTAGAATAATGACTTACTGTGCATCTCTAACAGTTAAGACACTAGACAATATCTATTTAATGGGTTTACATTTATTCATGTACAACTCTATTTGTTAATGTTCTTCTTCAAATTCTACAGACCCTTTTTCAGTTGACTAACGCCAACAGCGTTAAAACAAAACTTTGTAATCAAAATCTGCTTCTCCAGATTTTTTAAGGAGCCCAAAATACTACACTCTGACCATCACAAAAGGACATGTTCACATGCACATCAGTTCAATTTTTCCATCATTTCTGAAGTCACAGGCCTTCTGAATATGCACAGTTCCCCACATGGAACACCATGCAGTTCTAAGTTTTAGAATACAAGACACCGAGTTCCTCAAACCATCTGTAACATTCCCTTTACTTCCCAATATATTAATCTGTATACAGCGACAAATGTCTTTTCCCTTTTTGGGGTACCTGATCAAGTCTAGGCAAACTAATGAGAGATAAAGTTACTTCTGTCACTTTGCCATAGCACTTTTTCCCCCAGGAACCACTCACCACTTCCTCGTCCCCTAAGTAGATGTACTAAAACTCCAAAACCACTTCCCCGTCTACCCCAATCCAGCCAAGCCTCTATGAAAAAAAACTGACTGCAATCATCTATATAAATGCCTTACTATCTAATACCCATTATTTGATACACAGTACTTTTTTTTTTTTAGGTAGGATCCATGCCCAACGTGGAGCTTGAACTCACAAACCTGAGATTGAGAGTCACACGCTCTACTTACTAAGCCAGCCAGGTGCCCCTACACGGTAAATTACCTTTGCAATTTCAATTACTTTGTAAATCTAAACTCTGCTGGGCCATTCTTAACTAGAAATTCCATGTCTGGAGTTTCCAAAACCCACTAAGCACCAAAAGAAATCTGTAGAGAATCTACTATGTTCCGATGTATTTACTTAGTGACTTCAAAGCGCTCTTCATGTGGCTAAGTATACAATTCAAGAAAATGGAGGCAAAGAAATGGCTAAAATAAAGTGAAGGCACATCAACAAAGAATATTCTCCTTCCATCACACCTGCTTCATTACAAGATGGTCACCTCGGATTTGCACATAAAAAGGACTAGAAAGTCACACTCCAACCTGGAAAGGGCTGGTCCCCTCATAGAAGAATCATGGGAACAGAGAAGTTACCCTTTTACTTACAGACTCCTAAACTGTTTAGTTTTTAATAATAAATATAATATTTACTTGCATTCTTTTTAAAATCCATAGAAAACAAAGATTACTCAATTTGACCAATGTGGGCAAAGATGGGAGGGAGGGACAAAAATTTTGAAATGAAACAGAAGATAAACGTCAACACTTGTGATTCTAATTGATAAAAATGCTTATTGCTTGCTTTTACAGTCTCAAAGCATTTTATCAACATGGATTATTTCCTGTAGCAGTTCTGGAAAGAATACAACCTGCCATATTCTAGCCCACCACAACATGAGTAATATGCAAAACTAGTTTGCTGCAGGTTAACAAAAAACCCACTGCTGTTTCCCAGGCCTGGAACCTACAACTTGGTTAAGATGTTCAGTTAGGAATTTCAAATAACACTAACACAAATTTAAAATGACCAGCACATTCTAATGCCACTCTAATTAGTGCTAAACTTCACAAAATTGATTACTGAGTTCAGAAACGCTCAGATACTTAAAAATTTGAGAAAAGATCAGTAATATTGTTGAATAACATGGCTTCATGTTCCAATGCATTTGTATTCAATTAAAATTAGTACAAAAGCTAACTTCTCCTTTCATAATTCTATAATCACAAAGTGGGAAGAATTAAAAAAAAAAAATTTGAGTTTACACACACTTGGTTTTAACTTAACACAGTTTATGCTTAATAGGAGTATTCCGTAGTTAACAAAATTAACTTTTTACCAGCTGACAATGGTAGGAGGTGCTAGTACCTTCAAAATATGCGCCTTTGACTCACTACCTGTCAAAACAAACAAAAAAAGACAAACATTACTACTTGTAGTCTAATCCATCAGAGCCAAATATCAACCTTTTCCTGGAGATACTTTTACTTCCAAAAACTCACAGAAAAATTTCTGTTTTTGAAAACATCATCTATCACACTAGCAAATGACATTTTATCATTAACCTTTCATCAAAAAAAAGCTTATTATGTATCCCTACACACCTATTAGAATAGCCAAAATCTGAAAATACTGGTACCACCAAATATTGGCAAGAATACAGCACAAGAGGAACTCATTAATTGCTGGTAGGAATGCAAACTGCATGGCCACTTTGGAAAACAAGTTTGACAGTTTCCTAGAAAACTGAACATATTCTTTACATTATGATCCAGCCTCCTGGATGAACTGAGTCCCCCTGGTATCTACCCAAATGAGCTAAAAGCTTATGATTAATTAAAAAAAACTACATAAAAATATTTATATTGGCTTTATTCATAATTGCCAAAACTTGGACGTAACTAAGGTGTCCTTCAGTAGGTGAATGCATAAACTGTGGTCCATCCAGACAATGGAATATTATTCAGCACAGAAAGAAATGTGCTATCAAGCCACGAAAGACATGGAGGAAACTTAAGTGCACATTACTAAGGGAATGAAGTCAACACGAAAAGGGTACATATATTTTTTTATTCCAACTCTGTAACATTCTGGAAAAGGAAAAGCTATTGAGGACAGTAAAAGGTTGCCAAGGGTTAAGAAGGAAAATGGGATAACAGGCAGAGTACAGAGGATTTTGGGGGTGGCAGAACCATCATTACATATTTGTCCAAACCCACGGAATGTACAACACACAGAGTGAGCCCTCAGGTAAAACAAGGACTCCAAGTGATAATGGTGTTATCAGTGTAGGTGCACTGACTGCAATATATGTACCATTCTGGTGTGGGATTATTGATAATGGGGAGGCTGTGCATACTTTAGGTCAGAGGTATATAGGAATCTCCATGCCTTCTGCTCAATTTTGCTTTAAACCTGAAACTGCTCTAAAAAATAAAGTCTATTTTTTAAAAAGTTTAAAAAAAAAAAGTACATCCAAAACTCTGAAGGTATATATGGAGTTTCTTCTCTCTTCATGGTAGTGGTCAAGAAGGATAATTACTAAGATTTATAAACAGTATTTCACTGTGTATACAACACTTTTATCCAATAATCTCAATGATTTTTTTTTTTTAAGATTTTTATTCATTCATTTGACAGAGAGAAACAGAGACAGAGAGAGTACAAGCAGGGTGAGAGGCTTGGGGAGAGAGAAGCAGACTCCCCTGCTGAGCTGGGGGCCTGTCCTGCGGCTGGATTCCAGGACCTGGAGATCATGACCTGAGCCAAAGGCAGACACTTAACCATCTGAGCCACGCAGGCGCCCCACAACTATTTTCACAATTGCTTGTGAAGTGGGAAGGTTTGCGGTCATTATAGGCTTAAAAAAAAAAAAATTTAACATCAGCCCAAACTCACAGGGTTTGTAACTGGACTTAACAGTTAAGTATTTTGACAAAATTTAGCATATCACTACTCATAACTTCCTTATTCCCTGTCAAGGTAGCCAAATATACTTTAAAAAAAAAAAAAAAAAAAAAAAAAAAGAATAGGCCTTAAAACCAGATAACCCTAGGTCTAAAACCCCCACTCTTTCTCATTTGTTTAGAGTCTTCTGAACAAATTCATTCGTTCATTCATCCATTTATCCATCTATCCATCCAGGTGGGAGGAAATCTTACAAATTTACCTGCTATTTCATATGCCAGTTTCCTCATACATAAATAGGGATGACAACATATATAATTCATATCCAGAATATTTGTTGAATTTCTATAAATAAAATACAACTCAGAAGAAAAAATAGGCTACATATGTCCATGGGAAAAAACCTAAACACCCATTAACTATGAAGTTGTCTCACTATTAAACACATGTGAAAACATTATCATTTCCCCCATCAAATTTTCTTATTAGAAAAAACGGGGCACCTGGGTGACTCAGTGGATTGGGCGGCTGCCTCCAGCTCAGGTCATGATCCCAGGGTCCTGGGATCGAGCCCCACATCAGGCTCCCTGCTCAGTGGAGAGCCTGCTTCTCCCTCTTCCCTCTGCCTGCCACTCTACTTGTGCTCTATCTCTGTCAAATAAATAAATAAAATTTAAAAAAAAAAAAAAAAAAGGAAAGAAAAAACATCACAAGTATTGGCAAGGATATAGGAAACAAGAGTGCTCTTGGCTTTGTTGAGGGAAATGCAGCCACTTTGGAGAGCAATTTGGCAGCAACCAGCAAAGCTGAGGATGTAAATTCCTATGACCTAGCAAACGCCTCCTAAAAAAAATTTGCCCTGGAGAAATTCTGGCACATGTGCATATTTTATTTTGTTAATTAACACAACAGGTCCTAGTATTTAACTGGCCCTTAATAAATGTTGAATCTCCTCAACAACTAGTTAGTGAATGAATGCCTACTCGGCTCCATACCCAGTGCTTTCCACTCTGGAAATGTGTCCATAGGCCTCAAAAAGCTCCCAGGACCAAGTACTGAGATGACAAAAACTACTGGATAAGGAGATAGGCTACATTAAGGAAACAGGCAAATGAGGTCTTCTGTAAGAAGGTCAAGGAAGGCTAAGAACTGATTTATTTAACTCAGAACTGAGTGGATCCACAGATTTTTGGCAAAGGACACAAGAGAGGAAACCACAGGCAATAAAATAGCATCTGTGAAAGCACAGAAGCACAGGAGAACTATTAAGTACCTGAAAGCAGGCTGACAGATGACCCCAGAGGCATCAGGCCCTAAACCGTGGAACCAGCAAAAGTTACCTTACTTGAGAAAAGATCTTTGCAGATGTGACTGAATTAAGGATCTGGGGATGAGAGAGCAGTATGGGATTCAGCTGGTCCCTAAATGCCACCACAAGTATCCCTGGAAGAAAGGCAGATCTGACATTCCGAGAGGGCAATGTGAGGACAGAGCAGAGCTGTTACGTGCTGGCCTCGAAGTCTGGACCCAGGCCACAGAATGCAGCAGGCCCAGCAACTGAAGAGGCAAGAACAGGTTCTTCTCTGGAAGGGGCAACACTCTGCCAACGCCTGATTTCAGCCCAGGAAACTTCTGGTCTCTTTTAACTGTAGGGTAATCAATTTCTGTGGTGCTAAGCCACCAAATCTGCGGTGTTACAGCAGCTCTAAGAAGCAAAGTCAAGAGCTCACTGGCACTGCCCTCTATGCCATGCTAAGTGCTAAGTGGTTTAGATATTACCCAAATCTCTAAAGAGCCATCCAGATTTGTATGCAGAATAGCCACCCCTCATACTGTTAAATCTCACGCCAGTGTGGGGAATCTACTGATGGAGGCAGCGGGAACTACAAACAGAAAAATCAGAATCAAAAATCCAGAGAGAATATGAAGTTCTGGATCACCAGACATTTGACAAAAAAACCCATCACAATGAAAGACACAGATGAAAACTAAAGTGGGGGGAACTCAATGGAAACAGTCGATGCAGGAAATAGAAAGAATACTTAAATACATGTGACTCGTCTTCCAAAAGATAGGAGAGGCTATTAAATTGATGAAACAAAACTGGGGCACCATACAGGATTAAAAATAAGAAAAAACTCTTGGAGGCACCGGGGTGGCTCAGGGGGCTAAAGCCTCTGCCTTTGGCTCGGGTCATGATCCCAGAGTCCTGGGATCGAGCCCTACATCGGGCTCTCTGCTCAACGGGGAGCCTGCTTCCTCCTTTCTCTCTCTGCCTGCCTCTCTGCCTACTTGTGATCTATCAAATAAATAAATAAAATCTTAAAAAAAAAAAAAAGAAAAGAAAAAGCTCTTGTTAAAATTAAGAAGAGCACCTGATATTAAATTTAAAAGTCAACAGAAATATTAAGAAAAAAAGGCTGGGAGTATTTTCCCAGAAAGGAAAGCAAAATCAATGAAGTAGAAAACAGAAATCAAAAAAAGATTTTTAAAAGTAAGGTTGTACCTGGGGGCAGAGGGCTATGGGGAGTCTGGGGCTCTGAAGGTTCCAACAGTCCAGGCTCAGCCACTCACCAAAGGCAGAGAGACAAGTGGTAAGGAAATAAGAAAGGAAATGTATTTCAGAAAGCCCACACCAGGAGACAGCAGGCTGATGTTTTAAAGACTGCCTCCAAAGTGCTGAAAATACTTCCAGGTTTATATAGGAAAATGTGGGACAAAGGTCAGTGCATATATGCAGGTGGGCAGTAAAGGTCAGGTGGATCGTTGTCTTGGGATCAACCACACGGGTAGGTCTTGCTGGCTCAGGACAGTCCTTATTGCTTGAGGGGGTAGTTTCGGTTCCCATCAAGAGATGTTTTGTGCAAGGTCTTTTGCCTGAGTTAAAGAGATAAGCTGGAAAGAAAAACTTAATTAGAAACTTTAAGATCAAAATGGAAGTAGTCAAAGTCCTTTTTCAAGGTGCTGAATTAATCCAAAAGACCAAGAGAACAAGTTCCACTAAAAGGAGTTCTAGAAGAAAGAACAAAGAGAATGAAGAGGCAGAAATTACTGAAACACTGGGCAATAAAATATCCCACAGGTGATGGATGCTAGTCATCAGACTGAAAGGGCCTGCAGAGTGCTAAGCAGATGAATGGGGGCAAAAATAACTTACCTCTAGACACAGCTTTGTGAATTCTCAGAGCACTCAGTTTAAGAATATCCCAAAAGCTTCAAAACAAAACAAAAACAAAACTAGGTCACCTACAAATAAGTAAATTATATAAATCATCAATACATATACTCTACAGAGTGAAAGCAGGTGCTATGAGATGTAATTTGAAAGTGTCCCACACAAACCTGGATGTACAGTCCCCCTTCCTATGAAGGAATAAGAATCATACTGGCCTCAGATGTCTGCAACCCTGGAAGGCTATCAACAATGCCTTCAAAGTTTTGAGGGAAATGAATTTTAAACTAGAATTCTACTTCTAGCTAAATTCCTGAT